ATCAAATCAAATATAAATTTGAATTTGTATTTGATTTAATTTTTAAATTGAATATTCAAATATCAAATCGAATTGCAAAACCCTAACACTTACATATAAAGTAATAAAAATCATTTTGAAATAAATAAATAAAAAAATCAAATACAAATTTCACATTTATATAAATATTTTTAAGGTATTCTTTGTTTTATAACATTTCTGTGAAAATGAGCCATTTGTAGATATCTGATATTATAAATTTCATAAAAATTAGCTTTTTATAGAAAAATATAGATAATTATTTTTAACAGAGATTGTGTAGCATACGTTAATTAAACTAGGAATATTGCGAAAACATTTTAACTTTTTATAATATTAAAACTATGATTTCAAATAATATTTTAAAAACAACTTTCTTATTTTACAAATTTATTGATATATATCCAATCTTAATCAATTTTAATAATATTTGACTTATAAAGTATCCAGTATTACACATGAACAGATCATGAAATGTGATGAATAATACCTGAATCTTAATTACAGAGAATATTATTTTTGGGGTATTTATGCAATAACCAACAGTAAATAAAATTTCATGTTAGGTTTTTTTTTATTTTAAAGATATACTTATAAAAAGATTCCTTTTCATTCATATTATGTATTCTTTAAGAAGATAGTTAAAACTAAGATTGCTTGTCAAAATTATTTTAGATTTGGCTAAATATTTAAACCTTTAGTTTCGCTAAATTTTTACTAAAAAGTTGATATGGTTTTGCTATTTTTATAAGCTTTAATATAGTTTTACCTTTTTCTGAATTTCGCAAATTTTTTAATATAATTTAATCAAGATTTACCTTTACTATTTAGAGCTAAACTTTTGATTTTACCTAGTAACTTTAGTTAAAACAATATTCTCTTAATAAGAGTAAAGCATTAGTTATTAGTAGATAAAGCTTCTTTTTCAAACTTTCATTAACAAATTTCATTGTGATCATTGAACTTATAGAGCTATTATGAGAAAAATTATAATGTATTTTGAGGAATATTTTAATCTATTAGCAATTATTTTGGGCTTTTCAATAAGTAACATTGTTTAAAATTATTTGATACTAGTAGTTTGAAATGAATTTTTAGAAAGTTCTAATTCTAAATAAGTAACTGATTTATGATATTTTAAATTTGAATTGATAATTTTTGAACTAAGTTATTCTTCTGCTATTTATAAGATACAAGTAATAATACTTTTATTAACTCTAACTATTTATTTTTTTTAATCTAGTAAATATACTTAGCCTAAGTCTTTTTATTATCTTAGAGAGATATTTTTAGAGACATATAACTAATTTTATTATTATTAAATAATGAGCATTTTTCTTTTCTTATTTTAGATATATAACAAAATCTAACATTTTAATTTTTATTTTATAAGGATTTGTTTATATATTATTATACTATTTTTTCATCAATATACAAAATTATACTAATTTAGAATAATTAATTTTTCTTGGGCTAATTCAGCTAATGAACTGATAAGTAAAAATAATAGTAAGTATTTTTAATTTGAATTAATTTTTCAACATATTTTTGAGTATACAAATTTATTTAAATTAAATTATTACAACTTTAAAATAAATTTAATATATAATTTAGTTGAAATTTAAAATATTAAAGATATATTTTAAATTAAAAAGATACTAATAAATATTAAATTAAAAAGTCTATCAAATTTAAATTTCTCAGTTTTAGTATCAAAATTCTATATATTTTTTGGTTAAAATCTAATTTTTAGTTCTTATGATTTTATAATTAATTATTATTATGAATTTTTATTACAGATAATAATTTTATCAAGAAAATTTTTTTCAGAAAATTTTAAAACTAAAAAAAAAGGAAAAATTATTAAATTATAATTGTCTTAATTTATTTTATTTTAAAATTAATTGTGATCAAACAGTTATTGAATGATATATAAATTTTTATGTAAATGCATTTATAAAAGATATTTTAATATACCTAAGACTCAGAATTGCTTATACATGTAAAATATAGAGGGAATGTATTTAACTTTAAGTTCTAGGTTTAGGACTAAGCTATAATATATATATAAAGAGTATATACACTTATAAAGAGTGTACTTATAGAGGTATTATTATATGTAATTAAAATTGATTGACATCTATTAAAAGCTAAAAATAGAAATATTAATTTTAAATTAATAAAATATATAAGTAAGTACTTATTAAACATATTAAATAGTATTTTACATATATCATTAATTCTAAATCTATTATGGAATTTATGGAATCTTATAATCTTATGTAAGGTTTGAATATTCTTATAATTTTATTAATCTTATGTAGAATTTTACTATATTATTTTATAATTTTATGAACTTGTAACACTTGTAACTCTACATAGGATTTTATTATATTTTTAAAATTTTAAATTCAATAATTTATAAATCAACAAATTAAAAAAATAGATTCAAATAAATTATTTTATTTTTATAATTTTAAAATCTTGAAATATATTACGCTAATAAAAGAATATAAATAAATTTGTTATAAAACAATTTTCTTCAATAAAAATTTTTTGTAGGTTATTTGATACATAATCAGAAAATTTTAAAATTATAAGCTATATTAGCCACTATTTTTTTTTAGTATTTCTAAATTCATTCAATTATATAAGTTTTCTATAATTTTTTTCTAAATTTATACTGTATGTAATACAATATATACAGTAACTTATAATGCATAAATATTATTTGTATTATTTTAATTGAGCTGCTTTTTGTTTAATGTAAATTATATTTAAAAATAATTATTTTACATAAATTTGTAATAATACATAAATTGAATTAGATCCTTTTAATAATTTTAATTAATAAAAATCGTTATCTGAATTTTATTATAAAATAATTAATATGTTTCAAATTTTCAAAATTTTCTATAAAAAAAACATATAGGAGTGTTTCCAATAAAATCACATTATGATTATATGATTTACTCGTAACTTGATTTTACTGGACGAAAATATTAATAAATTTAATAAATCACTTTTTTTTTTTAAAAAAAAATACCTAAGTAAATAACTTCATTCTTTAGTAAGATCATTTCTAGAAGTAAATTATCTAAGCAACATCTTGGCAGAATAAACAGATCAAGTAAAGTTTCTAGTTCTAACAAATTTTCTTTATCTAAGCATGTCCTTAATATAAATACAAAGAATTTGCAAAAAAAAAAAAAGAATAAATTCTAAAGATTTATTAACTTCTACAACTCCTATGAAAGGTAATTATAAAAAATCTATTATTATTTATTAACCTTTTATTTACAATCTTTATTTAATTTATTTAATATAATAGGAATTGAGAGTGATTTAAAGAAAATAATGGATCAAAATGCGGACATTGATTCTAAAATTGAAGTATAATAAAAATAATCAACTTTAATTTTTTGATTGGATGTGTTTGAAGGAAAAGGTTTTACATTTGGTGATTCTTTTTTAATGAATTTTTTGTTTATTTAATCTTTGCTTTAAACATAAATAAAGTTAAATATGATACATAAGAATCCTATTGGAAGTTTCTAAATTTTTCCTGTAATTATAATAAAATATTCTACTGTTAATGTCATTGAAAAACATAAAATATTTAAAGAAGGTAATTAACTTTAATTTTCCTTTTTTTATTTTATCTTAAAACAAAAATAGATGGGCTAAAGACGAATAATTAATCAAAGATTTGACCAAAGATGATGTGTTTCGCAATTCATGACATTAAATTATATTATTAATCAAAAAATCCAATCTAAGGAAAAGATTTTGTTTCCATTTGATACGCAAAAAGCCTGTTCTAAAAAAATATTTTATTGCAATAATATTTTGATTTCGCTAAGCTAATAGTATTTTTTTTTTGGAATTGCCATTATTAAGAGAATAGAAAAATTGTAAAACAAGATAATAAAAATTACCATCTAGCAAACAATATCAGCTAAAGACATAATTCATTAAATGTCACGAAAAGGTAATGATAATATACGACGAAACATATGTAATAAATCTTTCTCCCATGACCCTTATTTATTGTTTCTAAATGTTGAGAGCTGTGCTTGTAAAGGCTGTAGGGTCGTCGAGAATGGTTGAAGTTGTTGCTAGAATCTCCTCCGGATCGCCCGTAGCTGCGGTTGTAGTACTTTCCTCCGCGTTCCTACTAGCACTTTGAACGACGATATCCTTATTCTGATCAAGGTCCCGAAATAATGTCAATAAATATTCACAGGTGATCATTGTTATCCATATGGTGCTGTTAATAATCGTTAGGAAAGTGGCAAAAAGTGATAGCAAGGTGACTGTCAGACCAACACCGCTAATACCAGTCCACACCATTACAACTTAATATGAGAAAAATATGTGTTAAAAAAAATATATATATATAATTTTTTTTATCAATCATGATTATTAATTACATACAAACAACGGCACTCCATAACGTTAATAAAGTAAGAGGTACGACGGAGAGTATGATAAAAAAACGAAAGAAATCAATTGGTGGGTATTGTCGATACTCTTCATATAATTCCATTGAAATTTCCTGGAACCATGTTGGAGTACTTTGAAATAGGTCTTTAAACGAAGACATCATTTCATCATACAACGTTTGATGAGTTCTCACTCTTCTTCCTACGTATGTACCCCTCCAGCCTTCATTTGATTCCATAGTTTGAAGTACTATTCGTTCTTTTTGATTAATAATTTGAGTAGTTTTTTAGAATTATTTTGTATATTATTTTCTTTTTCCGTTTTCTTTTCTTTCCTCTATTTTTTTTTTTTATTTTTTTTAAAAGAAATAAAAGAAAAAAAAATTGCGGCTTAGAAATTGTCGTATTTAAATGATATATCATAAACTTCAGTATTTTTACGTAATAATGTCCAAGTTTAACAAACTATATACAAATTAAGCGGACTTTACGAAATATATTAAATTAATTTGACTTTGAACATATTAATTATCTATTATTCTATCTTGATCCGATCCTTCCTCTATAATATTCATTTCGGTTACATCCTGATGAACTTCAACGTTTGATGGTAAATAACGTCCAATGTAGTTATCCTCAAGAGTAAAAATCATTATGATGCAGGTAAATATTGATATAATACTACAAGCGAACTACATAAACATGGAATATATATTAAATCATTTTATTATTTTATATATTTATCACTGTTTTGTTTTTATATACACTAACCTGATCAACTTGAAAATTCTTAACAGTTATTACCAGAAATTCCAAATTGTTGCTTCTGATATAGATAGCAATCGAGAATACGATGAAGAATGTCATTAACAAAATCTAAGTTGAAAATTTTTTTTTTTAGAATCGTCAAAATACTCAAGGTAAACATAACCATGTAGAATCAAATTTTTACCTTTATTTGTATCGACCGTATCCTTCTCAATGCAAAAATTATTAGGATTCCAAACACGAGGAATCCTAATCCAATTAATCCCAAGGCGATTGATTCAATAATAAATAAAACTTTCAGCAATATAATTATAGAAGGTAACATTGACTTATCCTTATAAACTAGGCGTAATATAAAACATAATGTAAAAGTCGAGACCGATATTGGTGGGACAGCTTTAAAGAGTTTAGAGGTTTCAATGAATAGTAATGGTTTATACATCTTTTCTTTACAAATGTTCCCCGCTACGATTACCCTATCAATCAAAAGAATAATTTTAAAATGAGATTGCAATTATCCAACGGGATTTTTTTTTTATGGCTTACCATGACATGTACAATATTGTGTACGACCCTTCAACCAAATATCTTTTTAGACAATAAAAAATTACTTTTGTATTTATTTCAAGTTTATCTTGATAAATATCACCGGGATCTAATTCAAGGAGAACGAATGAACCTATTTGTCAAGGGAAAAATAAAAACTTTAATGCCTTTAAATGAAAATTTTTGATATACAATAAAGCAAAGAGAAGCATATTTACGATAATTACATGCGATTATAATTCCCAATGCTGGATAAATCCAATATTTTGGGTTACATAAAGCGCATCCCAAATTTACATACGTTTTTGGAATTAAATAGATAATAATCATAATAATAGACAAATCTAATAACCCAATTACAATCGAAAAAACATGCCAAGATTTACTTTTCATAAATTCTATCCATGGACCTTCATTTGCTGTCACCTTTACGTAAGTAACTTCATTTGCAATTTTTATTAAATCATCAATATCATCACAATTTATTAATGTTATAATAAGAGTCGCAGTTCTTAGAATTTTAATATCTCCTTTATATTGTTCTTTTATTCCGGGGATTCCATTATGGGAAGAAGAAAAGATGACTAATTTAGGTGTATTATTGACTAATTCACTTTTCTGAATTTCATCGTTTGAATATGCATTAGAATTTGAAATGGTTGGGATGGAGGAAGGCGAAATTTGATGTTGTTCTTGATCATTGGTAACGGATGTAGTATCGTTTAAAGTTGGTGGAATTATAGTGGCGGTATCTGTTGTTTGACCTATTATCGGACTCGAATCCTTATTATCAGCTTCATCGTAATTTGAGATCGAATTTGATGTGTTGGTCCAAGAATTACTAAATTGACATCGTTTAATTTAATTTATTAAAGAACGCGTGAAAAAGAAAATCATTGATATTTACCTTTGTAAAATGTTTGCATAACTCTTGCATCCCAAATTGAGCGCTTGTAGGAACGGAATGACCAATATATCAACCTCATTCGGTATTTCTCGTATTATGCATGGATCTTGTTTCATTTGATTATTTTGAAATGAAGCGATAAATAAATTTCCCGTCACTTGCGTATAAGAGTTGGTAACAGGCAAATCAACATTACGAAAAGAAGCGAATTCTTCATCATATTTATTATATAACTTTAGCATTGGATAAGATTTCTTTATAAATGAAAGAATCAATACTAAAACATAAAAGACGTTACTGGAACGCATGACGAAGTCGTTAGGTTTTGGATTATGGTGTGATAAAAAGAAATTGTTGTCACGTGAATGTGATAGAAGAAAATTTCGTCATCAAGGTTTACGGGGAAAAAAAGAATGCTTTTATTTTTTTTTCTTAAATTTAACTGTCAAAGTATATATATGTTATTCACACTTTTTTTTTTTTTTTTTTTTTTTTTTTTAATATTGTATAAAATTTGATGATGCATTTATAATTGATTATAATAAATTTGTAATTTGCGGCTATAGAAAAGGATCTTTTTCGTGTTTGTAATTTTTAATAACGGTTAGCAAATAGCTTTTTTGTTTACATTTTGTGATCACATATGTAGTGTGTTCGAAGATTATCTGTCTAATAATAAAACAAAACGATTTCACAGATTCCATGGGGACCTTGTACCACAAGATGAACAATGCACCACATTCATTGTGATTCAAAAGGTAACGGAACAGACCGTAATTATTTACCTTACCATATATGAACGAGACCCGAAATGAGAATTTATATCCAAAGGATTTAATACCCGTTAATTAATTTAAAATGTTTCGTTTCTTCTATCAATTTGCAATAAATTTGGTGGTTCATTTGTATGGAAATGTTGATTTTTGTACTAAAATTTTACTTTGAAAAAAATCTCCTTAAAATAAAACTTTTTAAAAAATTTACACAGTCTCACTTCCTTGCATGATCTTATGATCATAAATAAAACTGGATTCAATGATTGGTATTCGACCTTTTTTTTTTTTTCTTCGAAATTTTTCAAAATTTATTTCATAATCACGAATTAATTAAATTATATATAGAAATAATGAATGAATAATTATAAATGCTTTTCCGACGAAGAATAAATCAAGAAACCAATCCATAACCCTGAATCTGCATTTGGAAAAGGAATCAAAATTTGAACCTTGGACATAAACATTGGAAAATATGGTCCCAGGTTCTAACATTTATTTGATAAAAGCAAATAAATAAAAGGTTCAAGTAGAGGATTTGCTAGGTTCAGTTTTGTTGGTATCTAAATAAGAATTAATAATTAAAAAGAGAGAGAGGAGAGAGAGAATGTGAATTGGTTTAATTTGATTTAGTCGATCTTCAATTACCACGCCAACCACCAATATGTGGTAATTAACAATCCCAATAGTAACGCTACAGTTTTGACATCAAGATCCATTGGTGTACCTGGCTTTTCCTTTCGCTCTTCTCTTTTACACGTACAACGTTCCTCAACTGGTATTTTATTCATAACTGTTGAGACAAAAAAAAATTTAGTTAAATATGCATTTAAGATCAAACAATATTTTCGTACCTGAATCGATATGTTTCCCGCACCCTCGCCACGTAGATTTCTGGCATGTTGGACAAGTTACTTGCTAATTTTAAAATAAAAAGAGATTAAATAAAGATTTTTTTTCCAAACAGTAACATTATCAAAACTTACAAAACACATTTTTGATTTAGGCGTAAAAAAATAAAAAAGTTTCTTTTCCCCCAAAAATAAAGTTTTCCCATATTTATGTTAAATTTTTTAAAAATTGACACTAATAATCCTCGGAAATATCCGCTAAAAGCGTGGGAAAATTACGGATAGCATGATAAGATTTCCATATGAGGTGATTTACCTTAACAGGGTAACTAAAAAAGCGCGTGAAGATATTTTGATGGGATGATTATCAATCAAAAAGGTTCGTACTAAACCTATTTATATTGCAATTTTAAAAAAAAAAATCTCTTTAGATTAGACAAACGAAAAAAAAAATAAATATGGCATCCATATGATTATTTAAATCTTATCAATTTATAAAATCCATTTATAATTAATTATAAATTAATATCTCTTTAAAATAATCTAATACTTTTAAGGAAATTGTCAATTGATTCATTCACTTTTTTTAGATTGAAAATTTGCTGTGCTAATTTCTTTTGTTTAATTTTTGCTTAGTTGTTTATTTTATTATTTTTTCCTGATTAGCCTTTTTTTTGCCTTTTTTGGCTTTTTGGCTTTTTGGCTTTTTTGGTGTCGTACGAGAAATATTCCCGTTTTTTATATATATTGTTTGCTTTGCTATGCTATTGATATTTGCTTTTATATGTTATCTATCATCCCCACATTTTTTTCTTTATAAAAAGATTGTAGAAAAAATTTTTTTTGATTAAAATAAATGTTTAGTTAGTAATACAAAATATAAAAAATCAATTTATGATTATGTAATAAAATTTTATAATGAGATTTGAAATAAAATACCTATATATAAGTATCTTGAATATTGGTTAATTAATTAAAATTCAATTAAAAAATGTTTTCTATTTTATTATTTATTGATTTCATTGAGAATATAAGTAATGAAAAGGTTTACATAAGAATCGTCTAGAATAGAGTAGATAATAAAGAATTTGTTAAGATTAATTTTAAAGTATTTAAAAATAATAATAAGAAAATTTGATTATATTAATAATTGAAAGATTTTTGATTTGAATCCAAATTATTTATAATAAGCATTTTATTATTTTTGATTTTTTTTTTAAATTATTAACTTATTTTTATATATATCTAGATAATAGTAATTTAAACAACAAATTTAAATTTAAAAATATTAGATAATAAATTAAATATGTATGATCTATCAATTGTTTTATTATTTGGATTTTTCATTTCATTATATAAAATATTAGCAAAACCAAAAAATGAAAATCAAATTTACTTTATTTTAGAAAGACACATCTACAATTCCTTTCAACTTTTTATAATCCTAACTTTATTTGATGATTTGAATTACCTTATAAAAAGTCTGATAACAGGTTTGTTTATTAAAAAATGTTGTTATTATTAGCAATAATTACCTTTACTCTTACTTTTTCTTTTTTTTAAACATTTAAAAGAAAAATGTTTTACTTCTTAAGTAGATAAGTAAATAAGCAAACTAAAAATATTTATATAGTAAATTTAAGTTTAAATTTACTCTTTCACTTTTTTATTTATTTTTTTTTAAAATTAGTTTTTTGTAAATTTTTTCAATATCAACTAAAAAAAAGTTTAATAAAAACTTTATTTAATTAATAAATAAATATAATAATATTAAAGTTCTGCAATTTGATTTGATATTTGAATATTTGATTTAATTAAATTCAAATCAAAAAATTATTTATTTGATCAAATTCAAATCAAGTATTCAAATATTTGATTTGATTCAAATAAGATATATATATTAATAATAATATTTTCTAAAATATCATTACCTATATATTAAATAATAGAAGAAAAATAAAGATAGTCATCTATTCATTATGTAAGACTAGTATTTCACAAAAAATCTGATTCAATTTAATCTGAATCTGACAGATCCAACAGATTAGATCAAATCAGATTTATCAGATTTGAATCAGATTCAGATTCAGATTTTGATTTGATTCAATCTATCAGATCTGGATCAGATTCAGATTTGGATTTGATTCAATCTAATAGATTTGAATTTGGATTCAGATTCGATCTGTTAAATTCAGAATTGGATTCAGATCCAATTTGTAGGATTTAAAATAAAAAATGACGCCCTGAAAGTCAGATATGACATTTATTAATAAAAAATTAATTTTTAGTTAATTTAATAATAAAATGCTATCCCAAAAGTCAGAGGTGATATTTATTATTAAAAAATTAATTTTTAATAATAAAATAATATCACCCCAAAAGTCAGACATGACATTTATTAATAAAAAATTAATAAAAATTAATTTTAATAACAAAATGTCATCCCAAAAGTCAGAGGCAGCATTTATTATTAAAAAAATTAATTTTTAATAATAACATGCCACCCTGAAATACAGACGTGGCATTTATTAATAAAAAATTAATTTTTATTAATTTTTTATATTAAAATGTCACCCCGAAAATCAGACACAGCATTTATTATTAAAAAAATTAAATTATAATAATAAAATGCTGCCCTGAAAGTCAGACGCAACATTTATTAATAAAAAAATTAATAAAAATTAATTTTTTATATAAAAATGTCACACTGAAAGCCGGATACGATATTAATTAATAAAAAAATTAATAAAAATTAATTTTTTATATAAAAATGTCATCCTAAAAGTCGGATACAGCATTTATTAATAAAGAAATTAATGAAAATTAATTTTTTATATAAAAATGCCACCCTAAAAGTCAGATACAGCATTTATTATTAAAAAAATAAAATTATAATAATAAAATGCCGTCCCAAAAGTCGGACGCAGCATTTATTAATAAAAAAATTAATTTTTACAAATTTTTGATATAAAAATGAAGCCCTGAAAATCGGATGCAGCATTTATTAATAAAAAAATTAATTTCTATTAATTTTTTATATTAAAATGCTGCCCTAAAAGTCAAACGCAGCATTTATTATTAAAAAAATTAAATTTTAATAATAAAATACCACCCCGAAAGACGGACGTAACATTTATTATTAAAAATTAATTCTTAATAATAAAATGCTGATCTGAACGTCAGAGGTGGATTTTTGTTAAAAAAACAAAATTGTTGTTTTTTTAACATTAAAACGCCGTTCCGAACGTCAAAGGCGGTTTTTTGTTAAAAAACAATAAAATTATCATTAAAACACCGTTCCGAACGTCATAAGCAGATTTTTGTTAAAAAATAACAAAATTGTTGTTTTTTTAATATTAAAACGCCGTTCTGAACAGCGAAGGTGGATTTTTGTTAAAAAATTTTTTGATCCATCAGATACGAATACGGATTCAGATTTGTCAGATTTTCAGATTTAGATCGAATCGGATTCAGATTTTTCAATTCAGATCGAATCAGATTTTACCCAAATCTGATCTGATTCGATCCGTGCGGAACACTAATTGAAATAAAATCCATTTAATAAATTATTTATGAATTTTACTATAATGAATCATAAAATGATTTATTATGCAAAAATTGTTTAACAAATTGTTATAAAATTCATCAATTGATTCATTTTGAATTTTTTATAATAAACAAAAT